GCAGGGCTGCCATCAGCCCCCAGCACCCACTGGCCCCCACATCCTGTGCTTGCCTATGTTAAAGCACCGTGGTGATGGGAGGAATCTTTGTTGAAGGGTCCTGTGTGATGTGGGGCAGGAGGGATGGCTGCTGGAAACTCTGGTGGGGGGGTGCTGGGAAGAGGTGGTGGGAGACCCCCACAAACCAGGATGGAAGGAAGAGGTCATGCCTGGGTGCTGGTGTCTTGGGAGGGACGGAAAGCGGGGGGCTTTGTGCTGAAGCTGGGAGCATCCGGGCGGAGGGAACAGTGGGAGGGGAACTGCGGGAAGGTACACTGATGCTTTTTGGGGTGATTGCTTCCTCCTCTGCCCTGGCCTAGTCTGCTGTGGAGGTGACACTCAGATTCTCAGAGAGAGGCAAGGAGCTCTGCCCCTATCCCTACCCTTATCCCTACTCCTTTCCCTATCCCCTTTTTCCTGCTCCTTTTCCTGCCCCTTTGTGCCTGTCCCAACTGCTGCTGGGGCTGTCACATTTGGGACTGTTCCTGCCCCAGACTGGGCGTGTTTTACTTCTGGGTCAGCTTGATGACGTGGAGGGGTTTTTAGGACCACTTTACACCCTGGTGCATCTTTCAGTGCTGTGGGCAGGAAGGGAGGAGGGTTTCCCTTGTGGCGTATCAGCCTCCTGCCCCAAACAGCCCAGTCCAAGGAATGGGACTGATAAAGGATGTGCAGAGATGCTCCCTGATGGCTCTTTCCATTTGAACTTTGTGCGAAGACCTAAAAAACCCTAATCCTCCCCTTTCTTCGTATTTCAGGTCTCAGCAGGATGGATCCGGGACAGAAGAAGTTCAAGGACTTCATCACTTTCCTGCTGGCAGGTAAAACATGTCCCCCAAAGATCAGCATTACAGATGAGTGGGTGCCCGTCTATGATGACTTGCTGCATGTCAACAAGATGGGGCTTCTCAACTGGCCTTGTTAGCTTCACGCAGAGGTGATGAAACCCCTGTGGGCACTTACTGCAGTTTAATTTGAGCAGAAACAAACACAAAGTCAATTAGGAATAGGAGTTCATCAGAGCCGAAATGAAGCCTTGACCTGCAAACACCACAACCCGTATCTTAAGTCCTGTGAGCAGTGTCTGGGAAGACGGTAGGTTTGCAAACAGGCATTTCATCACTCTGCTCATGAACGTGGACATTGCAGATGCTCCCATCTGAGCCGGTTATCTGGGGACAAGCCCCCTGTGGGAAATGGGCAGTTCAACTTGTGAATCATTCATTGTTTGTTTAGGATGAGAAAAAGTGTGCCCCCCCAGGCAATGGGGAGACCTTCACAGCCAGGTCTCCCCATTGCCTGTGAAGGAGGTGACTGGCTCAGGTGGAGGCTTCTGCCCAGTCGGTATCTGGGTTTGTCCTGGATGGAGAATGTTTTTCCCTTAACTTACATAAAAGTCAGAGCAGTTCTGACACAGAAGCCTGAATTTTGGCATGAAGGGCATCACTTAAGACAGCCCACTTAAAACATTTGGCCTTGGTGTCATAAGAAGCTGGTGGGGAAATTTACTCTGGAGTATCTTCAAAGGCCAAAACCAAACTCCTCTGAAGGTCTCTGCTTTGGCTGCGCTCATCCCATACCACCTCAGACTTTTGGGTATGTGCTAAAGTGAGGTCTGGTTCCATGGAGAAAACTCTTCTCTCAGGTACACCCTGAAGTGAGCAGCTTTGGGGGATGTTGCTGAAAGATGCTTGGTGGGGTTAGGTGTTGAGTTTTGCTGGTTCAGCCTTCTCCTAGTCTGAGATCATCCCCTCCCTTCCAAGCCTGATTGCAAAGCGCCTCCAGAAGACCTTCCAAAGGGTTATCTCCTTGTAGCTGTCCTCTCTCACGGCTCTTTTTCAGTGTTCTGCAGGTAGGTGAGGCTGCTGAGGATCTGCCAGCTTTTTAATAAAATGTGGCTTTTGGGATCTTGCAAAAAGCTAGTGAGCTTGAAATAGATAATTTCTGGGGAATTGCTCCCTACGTGGCCACTGGTTGGTTAGTTGCTGACCTTGGGGAAAAGAAGAGTTTTGTGCTTTATCACTGAGTTTTTTTGTGTGTTTGTTTGTTTGGTTTTTTGAGTAGCCTATTTTTTTTTAACTAACACAATGTTCTGGCTGCTGCTTCATTTTGGCACAGAGAGCCTAAGAGACCTTTTGAGAGTGCAACAGTACTCATTTGAGCATACAGAGGTCTCAGCCTGTTCCCCAGGCAGGTCCTGGGTCATGTCCTGATCTTTAGCAGGGCCTGAGGACGCGCAGACACACACAGAGGATTGGGATCAGGTGTCGTGTCACTGTGGTAATACTATCCAGGGGCAGGCTCAGTGGGAATGCTGGAGGGATCACCTCCCGGACACATCAGCTGCTGGAGGCCTGGGCACGGACCAGCGTTGGGCAGAGGTGTTGGTTGTTGGCTTTCCAGAGGGCCTGCCAACGCAGCCTGGGGCTGTGGAGAAAGGGCTGGGCTGTGGCAGGGTTTGAGGCACCTTCTGGTCCATGTGTCCTGGGTTGAAGTGAGAAAAGCTCCTGTTGGGAGTGAGGTCCATACACGGGGCTGAGCTGGGAACCAAGCAATCCTAACCCTGGCTATGAACACAGCCTTTCCATCACTGCAGATTGAAGTCTTCGGGTGCTACCATGGTTTTCCTCAACAGAAGCCACCGAAGGAGCTTCATCCAGAGGATGAAAGATATTCCTTGCGTATCCTACATCTGTTATCCAAAGTTTTGGTCATGGGACTTCTTTCAACTTCTTTATTCAGCTATTTTAGGCCAACGCTTTACTATCACAAGGTAATAGCCAAACCCTTGAACTCAGAGTAAATCTCTTTCGCAGTGCTGCATGCCTGGACTCCAAGAAGTTCAGCCAGCCTTCATTTCACTGGGCTGAAGGAAACTCCTTGGGTGTGGGGAATTTTTAAATGGATAACTACCCCAGTTTTGATCCCTCCACCAAGACCTGAGCCTGTTTCTGGAGGAACAGTGGGCCAGCAGTGGCTAGAATGTGTGTAGCTGCATTGTGTTCTAAAGAAAATGCCTCTAGAGACTTTGGAAAGAGTAATAATGAGCAGGTTTAGCTCTAGAGTCAAACATGGCTTATGGCATTGGCACTGGGAGAAGTCTAGTGGCTAAGCTGTCCCTGAAGGGGTGATTCTGGCTGTAGAGGGTGACTGCAGTACGAAAATGTGCTTGCTTTGGACTCTATTTTTCTGTTTTCTGAGAAACTGGCTTTACGAGAAGCAGACATTCCTCCTGTCAAACTGTCTGTTTTTTGCTGAAGTCCAGATGGGAGATGGATGCTGGGTACAGTGATGCCTCTACTAATGAGTATTCCTCAGGAACTGCAGTGAGGGATTCTTCTGAGGGGCAGGAGCTGCTGGAGTTTAACCTCCGTGTTTTCTAGGTCTGCCTGGAGCTGAAGATCCCTGTATCCATTAGAGCTCACCATCCAGAGGACACAGATGTGCAGGAGGTGGGTGGGGATGAGGGTTGGATCAGGCTGATCCTTGTTATATCTTTTTCCAATCTCTGCTCCTTCATTAGGTGTTGACCCATAGCTGTTGCATGGATACCCAGATGAGGGCACAACCAGCCAAAACCTTTGCTGAACTGCACCTTCTCTGTGTATTTCCAGGAGTCTCACTGTGGATTTGAAAGGGGGTAGCTCAGATCTACAGGCCATCTGATACCGAGATGTTCACTACAAACCATCTACCTCTCGACATTTCAGAGGGATAAATCCTCGGCGGACCCAGTCCTGCCCACACCAGAGGTTTCTCCCTCCTCCACCTGCTATGGGGGAAAACCCCTGCAAGACACCAGCCCTGTCTCAAGGATTTGCTCTTCTTTCACTGGCATCTTCAGCATTTCTTGCACGATACTAAAGTTGATGACACAGGAAGCCTGCAGCAGTGGATTTGACACTATCTATATAGTGTATGAGAGGTGCCTGGAAAATATTGTCAGGGCCGTGTCTGAATCAGCCTAAAAAACCCCAGCTGAAAGGGGAGGGAGCGCCTGGGCTGGGGGAGGAGGGCAGGAGCTGTTTGGGCTCCTGTCTCCATGGGATCCCCTACACACACACGCTTCATGTGCTGTGACCGGGGCTGGTGAATATTTCCAGCGACATTTCCACCTGCCTCTCCTCCGGACCCACGGAAATACAGGCCGGGGGCATCCCATGAGGGGGATTACCCTTCTTGCTGGTAGCGTGGGGTTGCTCCCCCATGCTCTGCTGCCTGTCCCCAGCCCCTGACGCTGCCGTGAGCCTTGGGGCTGCCTGTAACTGTTCCGCAGGTTTGTTTTCTTAAAAAAAACATAGTTGTGTTGCAATATTTAACACGGGGAGGAGCTGCAAATGTTTCCCGTGTGGTCAGTGAGGTTAAAAGAGCATGCTAGTGACAGATGGTAGCTCAGGGATCGTTCTTACACATGCTATTGGTGGTGGATTGTGAGGAGCAGGCTCTTTCCTCTCTGCATTCCTGAAGGGCAGAGCTGCTCCCAAGCCCTTGGAGGCGAATGGAGCTGCACCCCTGTCCATGGATAAGCCCCACTCTGTGTCCCCAAGGGGAAATTTTATTAGAGGCCTTGCAGATGGATGTCTGCATGCAGGGAGCCCAGGGTCCCCACAACCTTGAAGCTATATCTAGTGTGGCTGGTTGGTGGGAGGAAGCAGGGGAGGAAGGCTCCCTCCCCAGGAAAAGCACCGCCCCGGATCGTCCTGGGAGACTCCGCTTGCCCACCCCACTAGAAGATGTCCTCCCACTCCCCACCCCTCCATCCCGGTGGCTGCCTTCTCCTGGGGAGCTGCCTGGGCTGCCCCAGCCAAGGGAGGTGCACAAGGGACTCTGGCACATCATTGGTCTGAGGAGGTCTCCATGCCCTTAAAGAGAAGGTGGATTTTCTGCTGAGCCACCCGAGAAGCCCTTTTATACCTCCTTACTCAGCCAGCTGCCTGCGGCTCGCCACTCTGTCCTGTCCAGCCAGCGGCACTCTCTGATTTGCACCTCCGGACTTGGGTGAGCCGTTTTGCATGTCTCTTAACGACCCAGCTTGCTCTTAGGGGGTGACGGGGCAGCAGATTCTCTCACCTGAGTTTTAGGGAGAGAAATACCAGGTGGGGGTGACCTGCTGGAGAAACGGGAGTGCTATTAAAAACCTCTCCATCCTTTGCCTGTTGTAGAGGGTCTGTGCATCAGAATAATCTCCCTCTGGCTTTTCCAGTGACCTCCTTTCTCTGATTTCATGCCTTCCCCTCCCTTGGTTCTGCTCTCCGGCTTGAGTGGTGAGGGCAAGCAGAGCCCAGGCTCCCTAACGCTGACCTCCCCGGCGCCACGGGACGCGGGATCTTTGCCTGCGGTACCTCGGCGATGCTCCCTACTTACACCCCTTCCTCCAACTCCCAACCCAGTCCTTGCAGTGCCTTCCTTCCCCAAACCACCCTTGGACATGGATCGACATCCAAATTTACTGTGTCCCCCGCTGGAACAGGTGATTTAAGCCCATGTTGCAGGCAGACAGACACAGCCTGGCGTTATCCCTCGCTTCCTTGGCGCTCGCAGCATCGCTGCTGCTGAAGTGGGTGCGTGCGCACGCGGGGAAGGGGCGCGAGTAAAAATAGCTGGCGTTCCTCGGCCGCCCCGTCCCTCAGCTGTAGCTCAGCCACCTGCGATGGCTTTTGCTTCGCATCGCCCCGACCTCCCTGAGTCACGGGGCTGGCACCGGGGACAGGCTGCTGTCCGAGGAGACAGCTGCAGCTCCTTCTGCAGCTCCCTGACCATTTTTAGAAGCACTTTTCCCCCCTCCTCCCTAAAGTAATGTGATGGGCCTGCACATTTTCCAGGATAAAGTTTCCTTGGCCTTGCAAGCTGTGCCTTCTCCCTCGGGCATGAACCCCCGTTAACACTTCACCTCCCAACAGAGCCTCCTGGGTCTGCAGATGGCTGTGGTCTGGGGGCTTGCCTGCTCTGCAAAGGGCTAGCTTAGTCTGAGCTCATCCCTGCATCCTTCCGTGAGGAGATACAGGCAGGAGATATTGCTCTGCTGGAAAAGTAAAATTCTATTTACAGGGAAATAATTTACAGCAAAGCAAATATACTTTTCCAATCTCTTCCCTAATATGCAGCATTGCACTTGTAAGATTTCCGCTTAAAAGAAATGCAAGGAATTGTTTGGGGAACCTCTTTACCAATTCCACAGTTTTCAACCTCGTTCTACGTCATCCGTGCTGAGGCTGTTGCGAGAGGCTCCCGTGCCCCACGCAATGGATGCAAATACCAGCAACAGCATCCTCTGAAGTCCTTCCATGTCACCTGGGGTCAGCGTCAACCCGCTGCAGGCTTTGGGGCATTTCTTGTTCATGGACCCCACTTGGGAAATGTATGGCGAAATATAGCAGTAAACTGAACATAGCTTTTTTCCCTCTTTTTCCTTCATTGCATAAAATGGTTTCCTGGGGGTCGAACAAGCGACACACCTGCAGGAATTACTGTCACAAATTTCTCTTTTTCTGGCCCAGCACCATTTGCTCCACTCCAGAAGTCCCCTGATGCTCAGGTTTGTCTGGCTGTGAATAGGCATGTGTTCGGGTCTTGTCCACAAACTGCAGCCTAGTTCCCTATATGATGAAAATTTGGAGAAGTTGGGAAATAAAAGCAAACCTGTTCCTCTTTTTTTTTTTGTTTTTCTCTCTAGAGGAATATTGCTTTTTTTTTTTTAAACCAAATAAGGCACCACAAGCATGAATAATTGTGAACCTTCTTTCTTGGTTTTCATTGCAGGTTCACAACCATCTAAAGCAAGATGTCTGAGTAAGTTCCCATTTTTCTGTCTCTAATATATTGTTGGCATTTAAAACCTTTTGTTCAACTGCCAACTTTTTACGCTTGTTAAGATTCCACTGCTTGTTTCCAATTAAGATGCTAACTGCCTTTTTCTCCCCTTTCCCCTTTCTCTTCTTTCCCTTCCTTGTCCATCTGCTCTTCCTGAACAGTGATGAGGTAAGTGTGTCTTCCTGGCGTTTTTCCTTTTGTGATGCTCATGTTCTCAATCCTGGCTTCTCGGTTCCTCCTTAGGAAACACAGCTGCTGGGGAGTGTGTGTGTGTAAGAATGATTCATGTCAAGGCTTTCTTGCTGACTCCTCCTGGTAAAGATGGAAGGGAGAAAAAAAAATTCCTTTTGAAGGTCTTTTCTGCCTCTTGTCTTGGAGTTAGATTTCCCCCGCTCCTTTTCCTGCTTCCCTAGCCAGCCACGAGATGGTGCTGGGAAGGCAGTGGTCCAGAGCCACTCCATCACCCATCCACCACCCAGCCCTTGGACTAGCATCCTCTCATCCTTCCTCACATCTAGCCCCTCGTTTTCTGCCCACCAAGCACTGCCAGGTTGCTTCTCAAAGGCTGTCTAGGGAGGTCTGGACCCAGAGGAGTATGAGCAGGGTGGAAGTTGCATCCTTAGCAAGTTCTCCCTGGATTTTGGCTGGGCTTGAAGCCCATGAGTGGCTGGGGAAACGCAGGGGGAGGTGTGGGAGGGTTGTGCGTGGCTTTGTCGCCCTGTATCTCTTCTCAGCAAGTTGCTCCATCTCTGCTTGGCACCTCCCCATATGTCCAAAACACCACAACCTCAAGCTTGTCCTCACTGAGAGAAAAGAGGATTTCAGGGATACATAGAAACTCCACAACATGGTACTGATGTCCAACAAGTGCTGTTATTCCCTAGTAAACCCAGTGCCCCCAGAAAAGGCTGGGAGGGCACTCTGTGCTAAGGTACCAGTTTTCAGATGGAGAATAAGCTCTGGGATAACAGTGCTCAAGGGATCTGCTCTATCTTGGCCCATGCCTGGATTCATACGAGCAAAATCCTGCTGGTTAACAGTGCACTGCATCCCTGAGCTGAATGTCTTATCTCTGCAGAGACCTCCAGTCCCATCAGGAGGACCTTAGCACCATTTGCCTATGCAAAACATGTCAGATTTTGTTACATTTTGCTCTGCAGATCCTTATCCACTTCCTCCTCTATGCAGCACAGACTCACACCCAAAGGCTGCATTCTGCTGTTCTACTCCCCCGCGTCAGGCACGTCAGATGTTAGTGTGCATTCCCCTGCCCCACGCTCGGCTTTGCTTGGTCTTCTGGGCAAGATGCTGAGGAAACAGCTGCAATGCAGCAGCATCAAAGTTGTGGCTTCTTCTATAAACAGAAGACCTGTTGCTGCTGTTCCCGCACATCACGGGTACAGAAGGGAAGGCTTGGTCTTCCAGGGTCCCCAGATTTTTTCTCACCTGGCATCCCAGGGAAGAAGGAGCTGGCTTGCATCTTGCAGCTGCAGCCCTGTGCACCTCCACCTCTCCTGGCCAGAGCAGCCTCCGGGCCCGCAGACCCTGTAGTCATGCCTGTCCTCCAGCTGTGATGAACACGCTTCAGCATCCCCTGGGCTGGGTCTTTTCAAGCTCCAAGAAATTACAGAGCCTTCATGTTTTCACCTGCCCGGCCATCCTCACCCAGGTGTGCCATCTGCACAGAAAGGCATCCCATGGCTCCCAAGTGCTGGGCAGCATCAGGCCCATTAGCTTGAGTGCAAAGCAAAACACGTGTGGGCATGAAGAGGAAATTAAAGAAAAGGCTAAAAGTCCCAAGAAACCAAGTTTGAAGTTATATTTTATATCTTCAAGTTCATCACCCTCATTATCTTTTCCTGAGGCACTTTTTGTAGGTTTTAGCTACCTGAGGTTGGCAAAGCTGAGTTTCTTCTTTGAGTGCTGCTGGTTTGGTGACCCACTGTGTGTCAAGCCATCCATCCTGGCTGAAGCCAGCCCGCTGGCAGGGCTGCAGGTCCTCGGTGGACTGTGGGGTTGCATGGGGAAGGGCAACGGGCACCCAATAACTTGCTTTTCTCTCATTTCCCCCACTTGCAGAAAAAAAGGAGGGCAGCCACTGCCCGTCGGCAGCACCTGAAGGTACGTGGCACTATTGGGGCTGGGTGAGGTATCCCAACCATCCCATCTCCCATCCCAAGCCATGCAGCTCTTAGCACTCTCCCTCCTGGAAGAGGCCACAATGCACGATGTAGGGACTCCCAACACCCTTCTCTACTCTTTACTGTGTCTCCACCAGTATCCCTTGCTTGGAGACGCTGGTATTGATGGGGAGCTCCTCAAGCTACCTCTCCATCAGGGCTCTCCCTCCCTTGCCAACCCCCTCCCCCCCATGCTGACCATCCTCCTGCTGCTTTCCAGAGTGCCATGCTCCAGCTCGCTGCCACTGAAATAGAAAGAGAAGCAGCTGCTAAAGAAGTTGAAAAGCAAAACTACCTGTCAGAGCATTGTCCTCCTCTGTCACTCCCAGGATCTATGCAGGAACTTCAGGTAAAGGCTTCTTTAACCCTTTCACTGTGCTGGAGCAGAAAGGATCCATCAGTCAGCCTGGTGGTTCTAGATTTGCCTTCCCATCTTGACCCCCTTTTCACGTGTGGGTGCCCTGGAGCTGGCTGGGTGTGGAGCTGGCTTGAGAACAGCTGGGGTCTCTCTACAAAAATAGGGGTCTGGCTGGCAGGAAAGCTGCACTTCTAAGGATGTGTTGAAGCAGTATTTGCATGAAGCCAGTAACATGGAGACCAGCAGCACGGAGACCAGGAGATGGCCTGCAAGCCACCCTTTGCTGTCTGGTCTTGACCCTCATCTGGTCTTCTGGACTGAGGTCTTTCGGAGCCAGAGTGGTGAGGAGGGAGGAATCATGTGTGTGGGGCCTAGCAGTGATCAGACCTCTCTGCTTTTCCTCCCAGGAACTGTGCAAAAAGCTTCACGCCAAGATAGAGTCAGTGGATGAGGAGAGGTATGACACAGAGGTGAAGCTACAGAAGACTAACAAGGAGGTAAGTCTCCCCTGGAGCCATCCTTCAGGGTAGTCTCCAGCCCATCTTTCATGCCTCCATGCGCTACTTGGGTCTGTGTCATGAAACCCATGCCCTGCTCATTCTCTGCCCCCCTCATTTCATCCCCCCGCAGCTGGAAGACTTGAGCCAGAAGCTCTTTGACCTACGGGGCAAGTTCAAGAGGCCCCCCCTGCGCAGGGTGCGCATGTCCGCCGATGCGATGCTGCGGGCCCTGCTGGGCTCCAAGCACAAGGTCTGCATGGACCTCCGAGCCAACCTGAAGCAAGTCAAGAAGGAGGACACCGAGAAGGTACCCCTTCCCTCCCCCCTGTGCCCATACAGAAGTTGGCCCCCATTTTTTGGGGCTCACGCCTGTCTGTGTGACAGACAGGGCTGATGGTGAGCCTTCCTGCAGAATGTTGTTCTTCCTGCTCAATATTTCCTCCTCTGGCACCCATGATGTTGAAAAAGGAGGGTGCAGCCCAAAAACGTACAGCATAGATAGAATGACAAGGGGTTTTCCATGGGTGGATGGGTGAAAGGCCCTGCCTGGGGGGGTTGTCACCCTGGGGGGCACCACTCACACACACATGCCCATCCCTCCCCTAGGAGAAGGACCTCCGCGATGTCGGTGACTGGAGGAAGAACATCGAGGAGAAGTCTGGCATGGAGGGCAGAAAGAAGATGTTTGAGGCTGGCGAGTCCTAAATGCCAGTTTCTTCATGCCCATCCTCCCCCCCCTCCTGTCCCCGCCGTCTCCCCGGGCTCAGCGGCACCGCCTGGATGCCGTTTCTCTCTGGTTTTGCGAAGAGCTGCGTCCTGGCAGCAGCTGTGTAAATAAAGCTTTGGCGGGAGAGGCTGCTGTCGCCTGTCTGGGGGGCTGGACCCTCCCCCATTCTATGGTGCCAGCGGGATCTGCCTCTGCCATGGGGGTCCTGCTGGGGACAGGGAGGCTTTGGCAGAGGCTGCAGGGATGGGGAAACCTCTCTGCTGTTGGTCCACCTCTGAAGCTGGGGATGCTCATCCTCCTCGTTGTGGGGAGGAAAGGATGAGGCCATGCCACCACGCTCTGCTGGCACCCCCTCCTCAGGCTGCACCACCAGCTCCTGGCTTCGTTCTTCACCAGTGGAGACAGACAAAGAGAAAAGGGTCCAAGCCCCCTCCAGCCACGGTGGGAACAGCAGGGAGCCGTGGGGAAGGAGGAGAGCTGGGAAGGGAGGTGAGGGATGGCTGCAGGGCAGAAGCAGACCCCCTCGGCTCCAGAGAGCTCTGAGAGGTGCTAAGTCAGGACAACCTCAGCAGCACTCTGGTCCCTGGTGCGTTGTAGGGTGCTATAGTTTAGAGTTGTTGGGTGTCCCCAAAGCGGCATGGGCAGTTGGGGGAGCGGTGGGTCACCCCTCTCCCTGCCATGGTGGGAATGTCTGTGCCCCACGCTTTCCCTTCGGGTTAGCCCAGCACTTCCTGATTTTGAGCTGCTGGCAGAAGCAAAACTTTAAAATAGTCCCTTTTTAAAAAAAAAAAAATCCAAAACCAAAACAACCACCCCAAATTTGCCTTCCGTCTGCCCCACTCCCATCCCCCCAAACCCTCAGCCCATGAAGTTTCCGGCACAGCTCACTTCTGCTGAACACAGGAAAAACGAAACAGCAGCAGCACCCTCACACCAGAGCTGTCTGCAGGGCCACCGTGCCGGCGAGGGGAGAAGATGTCAGACTCTGAGGGGTGCCAGGAGGGTGCAGAAGGTGTCAACCGAGTAGGAGATGAATCCCCTGGGAAGAGCGAGAGGTGAGGTCTGGGGATCCGGCACCCCAATGCCATGGGCTGCCTTCCAGTCTTGGGAAACCGGGAGGCTGGGAAACTGCATGGGTCATGGTGGGAAAGGAGGATGCATCGCCAAAACAATGCTGACCCAAGAGGATGAAATGGGTCAGATGCTCTGCCAGCCTTTTGACAAGCTCCTCCAACTAGCGAGAGACTTGGACTTCCTAAAGGTCTCCTCTTCTTTGAACGGGTGTGGTGGGGAGTGGGTGTTGATCGAATGAGGAACCACAGGTCCAGCAGCAGGCAAGCTCAGCAAGGGGTCTGGTAACCGTAACCTGCCCCACAGCTGAAATCAGCCCCATCTTTAAGACTAGTGGGTGGCGATCAGCTGCCTCCTCTCCTTGCAGCATCACTGGGCACATCTGATTCCTTGCTGTGTCCCCCGTGTCTAACTGAATTAACCTGGCAATGTTTCAGGCTGGTTGCTGTCTGGTGAGGTTATACATCTCCCCGAGCCTCCGCTCGGCTTTGCTGCTTTACCAGCAGAGATTGTAAGATGTGGGGTCTGTTTGCTCCAAGGTGGACAGCTTCCATGGGGGTTAAAGGGAGTCAGACCCATAGCAGAGACCGCATCTGCCTGGGGTGGAGGCCCACAGAGATAAGCTCGGCTGAGGTGTATCACCCAGAAGTACTCAGATTTGGACTGGATTCAGGCTGAGCATCCAGGGAGCTTGGGGGGTTGCCTGAATTTTCACCTCCAGCTTCAAAGCTCCCATTAGCATTTCTCCCCAAGGCTTCTGAAAGCCAGCAGAGTTTATGTTGATCGATAGGGAAAAAAAAACCCACCTTGAGTGACAATGAGAGGAGAAAGGTGTGTCATCTCCTGTCACTGGTGGTTGCAGCGTTTTGGCTGACACCTGACAGCAATTAGCCTTGGCTGAAGGCTTCACTGGAAGCTTCAAAAGGCGCTGGAAAGCTCCACACACAAGACTCTGCTGAAACAAAGGGGAAGCCTTGGCTGCTGGGGGAGTGCAGGAGTTTCCCAGCATCTCTCCATGCTTCTGCCACGGGCTCATCTCACCTCGCAGAAGCAGGGAGCAGATGCTGGGAGGGGGCAAGGCAATCGACCCTTCCTTCTCCCCTCCGGTGCAGCCAGGAGCAGGTGGTAGGGGCTGTTGGTGAGCCAGGGTCAGCTTGTTCCCTTCTCCATTTCCTGTTGGAGCCTCAGCTAAATAAGAGGCTGTCTGGGGGGGGTAGGTCTGTTCTGTAGCACTCCAGCTCCTACAGCCTGCAGAAACATGCTTAAAAAGCGTGTATGTGAATACTGACAGCAGGATGGCACATCCTTTCCTTCCTAGGCTGCATTTTTAGAATTTTAATGGAATGCGGACCTCGGTGGTAAAAGTAGTGAGCAAAAATAACTTCATTTTTTCCTTTTAAAATATGGAGAATGACTTTCCCTCCCGACTTGTGTAATAGTTTCATGTGCAGCTCTAAAATTCTCCTGCTTTTAAACACTTGCTAAGCTCTGGTGATTTCCACTCCCAAAATGGAGGGAGGAAGTGTTTTCTTGCTGTTTGAGGCTACCTTTTCTCACCCTGTGGCTGGCTCATCTCTCGGACCTCCTCTCCTTGAGGGCAAAGCTGTTCTCAAGCTGTGCTGTGTGTGGATGGAGTCAGGACAGTGCTCCTAAGGCAAAGGTGTGCTGGAGGTGTGAGCCTTGTGATGGAGCTGCCGGGAAAGTAGATCCTGAGGCTCCCTGGTGTAAATGCACAGTGAGGAGATACAGGGAGACAAAAAAAACCTGCTGGGTTTGCTTAAACCATGAACCTTATCTGTTTAACTGTGCCCAGTGTATAGAGAAGGGGAGCTTGCAGTAGAAAATGCCCTAGAAATCCTAGTTTGGACATAGCTTACTCCATTTCCTCATACAAATGGGGACATGCTGGGAAAGTCTTGCTGATGCCGGTGTAACACCACCTAAACCAAACTGGTGTTTGTGCTCTTTTCCATGAATGGGAATTGCTATATGGGAAAGCACTGCAGAGTAAGCCTGATGTGAAGCCTTCCCCAAAGTAGCGAGAAGCTGGGGTGGGCTCTGGGGAGCTGCCTGCTTGCATTGTCCTGCCTGGATGGGACAACACGGTGTGGGATGAAGGAGCCAACCCCCCTGCCTTGAGAGCGGGGGCCAAAGGTGTGGGAGAAACCTGCCTAGATAACTCGATGTGTATTTGGTCTGTTATTCAGAGCACTCTATGCAGAGCTCTGGAAGCTTCATACAGCCCCTGATTAGCTTCTAATCCCATGGCTTGGGATATGCTCCATGGGATAGCTGCACCTGAGGGGAGCAGGTTTCTCTCACCTATGGGGTCTGAGATGAGAGTTCAGCTTCTCCCAACTTCCCCCATCTCCTTCCTTCTGGGGCTTCCCACCCTGTGAGCTGCAGGGAGCCCTTGGCAGCCCATGTATGGTCACCACCCGGGGAAAGGCTCTGCTGCGCTAGCGATCCCCAGGCTTTTCCTTTGCCATGTCTATCCCCAGCTGTCTTGGATTCTCCAGATCTTTAGAGGAGTCTCGAGGGTCCTTGCTAGGATGACTGCTGTTGCTAAGTATACCCGCGGTTGAAAGGAGGTTGTCTGGGTAAACTGATATGTGGAGTGTCTTTGGACCCCTCGGTGCACAGGATTCCTTGGGGGAGGGATGGAGGAAGGGCTGATCCCTGCTCAGGAGTAACTTGTCACAGTTTGAATCAGCTGAGCTCATTAAAGTGGAAAAATAGTAGGGAAACAAACAGTGGAGGGCCAGATGGATAATTTAATGAAGCTGGGCAATAATTCAGCATTTCCAAATTGGATATAGGTGTCCTGGCAATGGCATTAGGGATAAGGAACTGCCTCTAATTATAGGGAGGTATCAGGTGCCTTCACTGCCGCTTTCTCCTTGGGGAAAAAAAAAAAAGCAAGCGCCTGGCTAGCCTCGCCTCCGAGCTTATTTTGCAGTGTAAAGCTGTGGGTTTGGAGCCGCGTGTGTTGAAGCAGGGAATTGCCCTGCAGCTTTGATTTGAATGTTATTTGTTTTTTAAACCATAGAAGAGAATTTGCTGGCTGGAGGGCTGGCTTTTTAAAACTCTTGGGGTGAAGCCTGGCTCCAAATGCCTTTGCCCCTGGATTTTGGAGCTGGCTGTGGCCAAGGCTGGGCTGGCTGTCCGCGGGGACCATCCTGGGGGCTGCTAAGAGGAGGTTTTGCTGTACCAGCTATGCTGGGGTGGGGTGAAAAAGCACTTCTGCTGGTTGAGGTGATGCTGGGGCTCCTACCTCTACAGAGGAAGAAGGGCAGAGGCACATCCCGACCTGAACCTCTGGAGCATGCAACCCCTCTGGCTGGGGGGTCCCAGGCATCCTCTGGCTGCACCCCACGAGGGGGCGAGCTCAGCTTGGCCTGATTTATCCAACAGCACCTGATAAATCCCCAACGATGAGGAAGGCAATGATGTCCAGGCAGAGTTTTAGGGCATGGCAGGGCTTTACTGCTTGCATGGAGCAGGCAGGAATCCCCCAGGGTGGAAATATCCCCAGGGGAAAGCTGCTGCCAGGCGGTACAATGACACTTTGGGACAGGGTGGGGTGCTGGCCTTGGAATGGAGAGTGCTCAGGGCCTGTTTGGAGCCATGCTGCCCTGGGAAAGCTGCATGGGCTTTCCCAGGCTTCCTGCAGCTGGAACAGGATGGGTGCTGATCCGTGGGCATGGCTGCGTTCAGGCTGGAGATGTGCAAGGTGTGTGGAGGGATGGCTTGGGAAGGTGGGAGAAAATAGGAAGATTTTTCCACCCCCCTGGTCTGAGCATCCTCCCCAGATGTGTAGATTCCATACTGTGTGCTGCTTCGGGAAGTTCCAGGCCTTTCCCAAAATCTGAAAGCTCTTTTCCTAGCAGTAACTGGAACGGTAGAAGGTATCACAGCTGGCTCTGTGGCAGTGAAGTGGTTAAC